AAAAAAAAAAAAAAAAAACAAGATAGCTAACATTAATTGAATGTATTCCTTGTCCCAGGCACTGTTTTAAACATTTTACTTGCATTCTCTTTATGTAGGTACTTTCATGGTACTTATTTTACAGATAAAGAAACTGAGCTTTGAAGAGTTTAAGTAAATTCCCAAAGCTTTCATTTCTATAAACAGGCTATTAAATGTCAGGGGCAGATTATGAATACAAATCATCTGTCGTCAGGGCCCGTGCTTAAGGAGTAAGTGGCAGGGAGACAGAGAATGCAATAGTTGTAATACAGCAAGTGCTACAACTTTTATTAATTCCACATTGCTCTAGATGTTCCTACTGATTAGTTTTGTTTGTGAGGTCATAGGAACATTTTTCTGATGTTGCTTATCTGTACTCTTGTTCTAGTCTTGGCAAAAGGTCATGTGAGAGGTAGGCACAGGATACTTTATCTCCATGGGTCCCTGCAGAAGCACTGGTGGGCAGGACAGATCTAGGCAGGAAAGGTCTCATACTCCATCTTGAGGTGCAGATTGCAGGAGGAGCCCTTACTCTAAAACTATAGGTAACATTGAATAAAGGGCAGATGAAGCCCAACTCATTATTATCTTTTGACTCTGTGGGTTGAATTCTGCCCACAGTAACCACTGTGGTCATTCGAAGACACAACATGGTCTGAGTACCTCTATTGTGATAATCCTCGGTTCTATGTCTTCATAGGCGATCTTCACTCTTTTAGCTGCCTCTCTTGCTTGAGCATAAGTATGAGCAGCCACGGTGCAGACAATCTGACCCACACAAATTACCTGCACAAAAACCACATGTTGTAATTAGGAACACGAAGTCATTGAAAAGGAATTACTATCTCCAAATTTTTACATTGACCTACTAGACTTTTGTGACCAAAAGATCATTTTCTGTCTATGAGAATAAATTTAAAACAGCGGCTTGAGTGGGAGTTAGGGACCACAAAAACTGGATTCAGCACTTAATGATCTGACTTTAATTATATACCCTCTGGTGTTCTTCAATCCAGTTTTTCACCAGTCCCATAGCACATAGGCCTCTAGTCCTTAGATCACGGACAGGTACCAGTCTGTGGCCTGTTAGGAACTGAGCCATACAACAGGAGGTGAGCAATGGGCAAACAAGTGAAGTTTCATCTGTATTTACAACCGCTCCCTATTGGTCACATTACCACCTTAGCTCTGCCTCCTTTCAGATCAATGAAGTCATTGTATTCTCATTAGAGGGTGAACCTTAAGGTGAACTGCACATGCGAGGTATCTAGGTTGTGCACTCTCATAAACCATCCCTTACCACCTCATTCCTGCCCATGGAAAAATGGTCTTCCATGAAACTGGTTGCTGATGACAAAAGGGTTGCATACTGCTGCCATAGCAAGCACAGTGATCCAGTCATCCTGAAACTGTGCTGTTCTTTCAATATCCTATACCTCATATTGTTTCTATTACTTTCCCGACTTTAGAAGCTTTCTTTGAGAGGACATACAGCTTTTAGAATTTCAAAGGAATATGCAATTCAAGAGAGAAGCTGAGAATCACCAAGGTGGAGTCATTGGTTCCCAGCAAGTCTTTGCAGTGTGAACACAATTACCTGGATGTTCTAGTCATAACCATTGTTTTGGTATTCCCATAAAGGTTCTTGAAAAACAAGCCACACACAAATCACACACCTCATTCTGTGCGTAGAAAACCTCTCCTTTGTAGTTATTATCTCCTGGAACGTCTTCTGCTGTTATCACATCGACCACACCTGGAAAGGCCAGGGCTTCTGAGGCATCAATTGATCTAGGAGGGAAAATTCAAATGTACACATTAAAGTTAGAAAGTTTAAGGTGCAATATAAATGATTCCTCAAGCCTGAGGAAAAACTATAAGGAAGATCCAGACTAGCACAATAATCTATGTTGAAAAAGGCCAACAGTTAACAGGTACCCTAACTCTTGGTCACAGACTCCTTCATCACTATGCTTAAAAAATGACTGAGTCATGGGACCAGCAGATGGTGTAATGGGTATCTCGCTGGACTCCCATGTAGTTGACCGTGGTTCCAGTCCCGGACCTGGTGGCTTAAACTCACACTGGGCATGCGTGTGTGTGTGCCCAAGATACTGGGGGGGGGAATTCTCGCTTTCTGTCTCTCTGTCTCTTTCTGTCTTTCTGGCGAGCGCACATGCTCTGTAGTAAAAATCTCTCAAAAAAAAAAAAAAGTGACTGAGTCATATCCAGAACAAGAAATGAATATTTCTAATTTACTAAAGCTACGATAATCTACAGCAATATCTATTTGAGTATGAAATTATGAACACAGTCAGTAACACTGAGGATCATGTTTTATTTCCTTACATGATCTTGGCATGAGCCCTGGAGCTGGTGACTACAGCCAGGAAGAGTTCTTGATCGACGGGGGGAATGTCATCACAATACACAGCTTCCCCTGTGGTATGTTTAATGGCTGATTGATGCATAACTGGGTGTCCGACTGGATCTTGGGGGGGTTGGTAAGGATCCACACACTGTTAATGAACAAAGCAAATTATTTTGCACCAGAAATTTGTCTGGTCTGACAACTGGGTCTGGTGTATCTGGTGTATTCACAGGTCAAAACAAAGTAACTATAGGAAATTGAATATTGAATTCGTGAGTTGAGGTTAATAAATACCCATTGAGCCCAATCCAGAAGTGGTGACAGAGGCAGAGGCAGTGCGGGGACACTAAGGGGCCATGGCGGTGAACCTGAGTTGGAATGGGCTAGCGCTGCAGGAGGCCAATGTGCGGGTGATCACCAAGAAGTTGCCAACTGACTGGGCGCTCTTTACCTATGAAGGCAACAGCAGTGACATCTGTGTAGCTGGCATGGTCGAGGGTGGTCTGGAGGAGCTGGTGGAAGAGCTCAGCAGCGGGAAGGTGATGTATGTGTTCTGCAGAGGGAAGGACCCCAACTCTGGCTTGTCCAAGTTTGTCCTTATCAACTGGACAGGCGAGGGTGTGAAGGATGAGCAGAAGGGAGTGTGCACCCATCACGTCAGCACCATGGCCCAAGTTTGTCCTTATCAACTGGATGGGCAAGGGTGTGAAGGACGAGTGGAAGGGAGTATGCGCCCGTCACATCAGCACTGGGGCCAGCTTCCTGAAGGGGGCCCATGTGACCATGGATGCATGGGCCTAGAGAACTTGGAGCCCAAGTGCATCTTGCAGAAGGTAGCCAAGGCATCTGCTGCTAAATACAGCTTCCACAGGGAGGACAGCTGCTTCCAGGACACGGGGCCCAGGCCCTGTGGGCTCTGTGTACCAGAAGACTAATGCTGTCTCAGAGATCAAAAGAGTCGGCAAAGACAGTTTCTGGGCCAAAGCAGAAAAAAAGGAAAATAAACCCCGGCTGGAGGAAGAGGAGCAGCAGTGGCTGGAACAAGACTGCTAGGAGTGGGAGCTGTGAGAAGCTGCACAGCAAGAGCAGCGCTTTCGGAAGCAGGGTGCCTACAGACCCAAGAAGCAGCAGCAGCAGGATGTGATCCCAGGGAGCTGCATGGAACTGGAACCTGCTGGTCAGTGGGCTATGCACCCAAGGGAGGTTTGCCAGCAGAAGGAGAGGGCCACATCTACCACCTCTGCTCCCAGCCCTCAGCCAGGCAAGCTGAGGAGCTCCTTCCTGCAGAAGCAGCTCAAACAGACACCCAGTGCCAGAGAGCAGCTCCAACTCTCATCACCTAAAGGCCTAGGGCAGATCTCTGTGAGTGGCCAACACCCAACACCACTCCATGTCTGTTCCAGGCAGAAGAGGAGATTGTCTTCGAGGAACCCCTGGAGCAGGAGATCCTTTATGAGGAGGCTACTCTGGTGTAGCAGCCAGGGACCAGCTCTGAGCTGGTCGAGTCCTATACATGGGGTTGGGTGTTCAGTGGGCAGGGGCTATGTGCCCAGGTCCTGTACCACTACCAGGCAACTGATGACACAGAGATCTTCTTTGACCCTGAGAATCTCATAACAGGCATTGAGGTGATGGAGAGGACCGGTGGTGTGGCTACAGGCGGATGGCCACTTTGACATGTTCTCAGCCAATTATGTGGAGCTCCTTGAGTGAGGCCGAGGCTCCCTTTCCACCCAACCCAGATGCCCCCCCCCTGCTGCTGGGTTAGGGGGCCCATCAAGAGCCCCCATGCTATATAGTTCCAGGAAGGAAACCCCATAAGGACAAGGCCCTGAGGCTCCCTTAGCTTGGGTGGCTCGGCCTCTGACACCCAAATGCAGCAAAACCCTGGTGATTCCCCAACATGTTCCCTGTGGCCACTCAGATCCTCCCTCCAGCCTGGACCTGACCCCATGGCCACAACCAGCAAGGGGCATGGAGCTAAGCAAGGGCATCTGGAGGTTGCTTTTGCATTTGCTTTTCTATGTTTGCCTTTTTCTTTTTCTGTGTTTTATGGAATAGTGTCTACAGCTCTTCAGAGCAACCCTTGGGCACAGGGAGCTCTGAGGATGGTTTTAGGTAGAGCTTAAGACCCAGCCTGAGTGGACCCAGACAGTGTGGGCAACAGGGGTCATCTCATTGGCCCCTGTTCCCTGCTCATGTTTTCTACCTGCTTGGGCTGTGGGAAGTAGGTTCAGTGACCCAAGTCCCACCTTTGTGTGTATGAAAACATCAGCAGACATGATGTGCCAATAAATAAATAAACATCTATTGAGTACCAAGGTAAGGGATATGTGCTGGTTATAACGCCTCTACATGCCCCGCAAAAGAAGACATCATCCCTAGCTTTAAGGATTCTACAACCTCATTGAGGAATCAGAACACATGCAACACATGTTAAAATAATGTGGTCAACTTCAAACAGCAATAAACAATAGCTTACATAACGAATATGGTGCAAGGAAAATTCCTGGGGAATTCTGGTTGCTTGTAATAAGGAAGGCTTTATATTGGCAATATATGTTGAGCTAAGCTTTAAAGAAGGACAACATTGGTCAAGAAAAGGAGGAAATTTTAGTCCACAAAACCGAAAATAGTGGAGGAGGGTAATTTAGATTCTCATTCCTTGTGTTGTCTTGAGTAAAATCATTGAGGCTAAACCAACAAGTCATGTAGGGTAGGAATAAATGACAACTGGTTTTATCTTTATAAGTAATAACAATATAGTCATTGAAAAGAAGGAGATGTATGCATCAATCCTACCTCTGAACGCATAAACAGATTAAAAGAACAAAAATCTCTACCCACCAACCTGGAACATCTGAAGTCCCTGTGGTGTTTCAATGGGGAAATCATTTAGAGCACTCATGAACTTTTCTGGGATATCAGGAAACTTCTGGGGATCCTGAAAAGAAGATTATTTTGCATTTAATTTTATGATCTGAGTTATTGGCTTGGAAAAACACTTGTAGAATTAGATTATCTAATTCATTCTCCCAAATTTTAAATGCCAGCTTGGAGAAAGCTTGGAACTTTAAGTTTCATAGGCAGGTGAAGTTTTTTTTTTTTTTAATTTTTTTTTTAAAGAATAACTACATCTTTTTATGCACACAGAAAAGTGAATATTACTTCTAGGAAGTGAAGAGTTCCCTTCATGACAGGTTTCCTTTTGAATGAGTGGGAATATGTACACTTCTAAATAGAAGCTGTACTTTCAAATCCAGACCAACCTTCTGGGTGGGTCTCTCAAAGAAGCAATTGAGAAAGTAGGCAAAGATTAATCTGCAGGGATGTTTGGTTGCAGATTATTTGTGATAGTGAAAAAACTAGGGTCAAAAAAATATCCAATAACAAAGAAATGGTTAAACAAATTATGGAACATTCAGAAACAATATTTTGCAATTATAAAAAATGATTTTGTAAGGCTGGCTCTGTAGCACAGTGGTTAAACACTGTACAAAGGAAGCCAGATCCCACATGGCCAACTGTGGTTTGAATCCTGGTCACTGCAGCTTGAAAAACACACCAGGTGCATATGTGTGCATGCCCCAAATCCTGACAGGATGGAGACATGGAGGAAAAAGTATTGTAGTATAATCATGCCCTTTGGTGGGTACTTTCTCTCTCTTTCTCTCTCTAGTGAGCACACACACCAATTGGTAATTTAAAAAATGATTTTGTAGAAATGTATTTTTGACACTAAAAGTGTTCATGAAATATAGTTAAGTGAAATAAAAGTTTGCAAGTTTATGTGTAGCCTGATCCTATGTTTTGTAGAATTAAAAAAAAAAAGAAAAAAGAGAAGTATGTATTCCAAAATATTAATAGTAATTATGGTAGGATTGTGGCACTATAGTCCATCTAAATATTTTTGCCTCTTGGGACCAGCAGATGGTATAATGGTTACATTGCTGGACTCCCACATGGCTGACTGCAGTTCGAGTCCCAGACCTGGAGGCTTGAAACTCACACTGGGCGTGTGTGCCCAAAATCCCAAGAGGAGAATGGAGGAGAAGAGACTGTGGTGTGGCCATTCCCCCTGGAGGGTGATTTCTCACTTTCTGTCTCTCTGTCTCTCTCTATTTCTCTGGCAAGTGTATGTGCCCTATAGTAAAAATCTCTCTCAAAAAGAAATTTTTCTCTTAGGCTAGCCAGTGACATGGTGACAACTGGACTCCACATGGCTGATTCTGCAGTTCAAATCTTAGACATGTTGATTTGAAAAATATGCTCTGTGTGTGTGTGTGTGTGTGTGTGTACAAAATTCAGTGATGAGAATGGAGGAGAAGGGATTGTGATGTGGTCATCCCCACGGGAGTGATTTCTCACTTTCTCACTCCCTGTCTCTGTGACAAGTGCACACATGCCCTATAGCAAACTAAAAAAAAAGAAAACAAAACCAACTTTGCCTCTCTATATTTTGAAATATTCTATAATACATATAAGATAGAATATACTATGTAAGAGTATATTTGATATTGTATAATCGCTATGAAATAAAACATATTTAATAAGTTATATATTAGGTCATTGGGAACGTCATGATGTATTTTTGTTCTTCTATGCAAAAAGTGTGTCATGACTTCCTGATGACCCAATATCATACTGTATTAGATATAAACTGATTGATACATTTATATGTCAAGTAGGTTAGATAATAAATAACAAGAGTATTATAATATTATATAACAACATAATAAGTAATAATACATAGTATTAATAAAATCATTTGAAAAGCAGTGCTTAAAGTAGCAAAGCAAAGCTTTCAGTCATAAAAGAAATGTGGGTGTAGTCATTTGTCTGCTATTTGGGGGTCAGTTAGCGCATTTTCAAGGGAATACTCATAGTTATGGACCGTAGTCTTAGAAACACTGCTGTAGAAGTGATTTTAAAGTAGGCTGGGAAGAAAAAAAAACTTTTAAAAACAATCCAAATGTCCAAAAATGAAGAACAAATCAAATAATGGTATCTTTATCCATAAATGTGCCATGCAACTATTATGTCATGACATTATGGGAAAATATTTAATGGTATTGAAGTTTGTTACAAAGTAGTAAATAAGCTATACTAAATAGCTATACACATATGTACATGAATATGAGAGGAATTTACGAAGTTTCTGGAAAAAAATGGAATTAAATTACAGGTTTGTTCTGGTGAGAAATATTTTTGAAATCCACACAGTTTTTTATAATATGCATTTTCCATGAACTTTTTGAAGATCTCCCTTGTACATACATATATCTTCATAAAGAAGGGATTAGAAGGATGCATACCAAAATACTAATAGTGGTCATCTATGGGTGTTTACAAATGATTTTCTCCTTTTTTTTGCTTATTCACATTTCCTACATATTAAAGTCTTATTTTAATTGGAATGTTTTCTTTAGAAAAGGAAAAGATTATCATTTACTTACTAAAGGCTTTCACTGCTGTGGGTCTACCTGTTATTGCATAGTATTATCTGTCACACAGATTACAGAGCAAATAAGGTGGTCCCTCTCTTAGCCAGGCGTGGAGGAAAGGGAAGGGAAAGGAAAGGAACCAAGCAGGGCCAGGAGGAGCTTGTTGGAGAACGGGGAGTGTTAAACAGAAGGCTCCATTCCAGCTATCCTCCATGTAATATTAAACCAGTTCAAGGAAGTCCTTTATGTGTAGATTTCCTGCACAGAATGTTAAGGTCCCCAGAGACCCAGAGAAGTTCTTTACCATTTTATTCAGCCCTCGCCGCACTTTGAGGTAGAATTTAAAGAGCAAGCTGATGATGAGGGCTCGCCGATATTCTACCATGCCACCCTCAGCTGTTGGGGGAATGTAAATCTCTTCCAGAACCAATCGGCAAGCATCACTCAGCATCTGGTCATCCCATTGCCTGGTAGGGAAGAAGTGGAACATTTCACAGAAGAGGCAAAGACAGATACTAAACTGAAAATAGCAAGAAAAGAGGGAGAGCAATCTATATCCACCTTTAAAGTCTAAGCAAAACTCCAAGTAGTTTACTAGCTTTTCTTTGGTATCTGATGCAGTGGTTCCCAAATTTTCCTTACTGAATCTTCTTTCTTTTTCTTTCTTTTAGAGAGAGATATTTGCCATTGGGTGTGTGCAGTTGTCAGAGAGACAGAGAGACAAAAAGTGAGAAATCACCCGCAGGAATGGCCATGCTGCAATTCTCCCCCATTTTCCTCCTGGGATCTTAGGCATGTGCACACATGAGTTTTAAGTCACTGGGTCTAACAGCAGATGTGGGAGTCCACCGATGTAACCATTACACCATCTGCTAGTCCTATCCTTATTATTTTTAACTTTGTGGGTTGTGAACATTGGTTTACCTCTAATAGCTTAGGTTAAAAAAAATTAACAACAACAACAAAAAAAAACGGAAATCAAAGCTTCCTGATATCTGGGGCTCTGTCTACCTTATTCACTGCTGTATCCCCGGGAACTTGACTTGCAGCTGCCACACATACTATGCCAAAGATATATATGATTAGAGACTGAATTACTGAAGATAATCCAAATAGTTCATAAATAAAAGTGTTGCAGTAGTATTTTGGAAGCATGGATTTATTTCAGTATTTGAGAAAAACTTACATTAAGTTCTAATTGTTGGGATTGGCAGATGGCATAATGGTTACATTGCTGGACTCTTATGCAGTCGACTGCAGTTTGAGTCCCACATCTGGTGGCTTGGAACTCACACTGGTTATGTGTATGTGCATGCCCAAAAGCCCAGGAGGAGACTGGCAGAGAAGGGATTACAGTGTGGCCATCTCCCTGGGAGTGATTTCTTGCTTTCTGTTTCTCTGTTTCTGTCTCTGTTTCTCTCTGTCTCTCTGGTGACTGCATGTATCCTTAGCAGAAATCTCTCTCTCAAAAAAAAGTTCTAATTGTTGACAATGAGTATGATGAGTGGATAAAAATTGCTGCGAAAGCACTAACTGAAAGAATTTTAGGGAGCTGGCCTTGTAGCCTAGTGGTTAAGGGAACTGGATCCCACATGTTGACCATGGTTTCAATCCCAGCCCTGGTGGCTTGAAAAACATGCCAGGCATGGTGTGTACACGTCCAAGGTCCCAACAGAATGGAGAAATGGAGGAAGAGAAATTGTGACATGACTACATCCCATTGGGGAATTGCTCTCTCTCTCTGTCTCTC